AAATTCCCAAACCCACTGCCGGCATAGCATAAAAAAAAACTGCCTTATAATTCAACAATGGTGTTGAGTAAAATTCAAGTGTGTAAATGCATATCTGCCAATATATGTGAAAGATAGTGAAATTTTTATTCCTCTTAAATCATGTTACAGTTGAATCTACCTCTTCTGGACTGCTTCAATATTTAATACTTAATGCATCTTACTACCAGGATAATGCCATTAAGTTTGTGTGCGCGCAAATTTGTTAAAGAACTAGTTAAAAAAAACATGACATCGTTGCAATCCGTGTGATAACTGCAGAATGCCTCTTTTGACCGGCTTCAAATTTTCAGCCCTGATGTGTTTTCCGGAAAGCACGATTTGCGTTGTTAGTGGGCTGCATAAGTCCCAATTTTATTAAATAAACAGTGATTTCTATTCAATTATGGGCTTCAAAATATTAACCCTAATGTATTCCTTACGTAAGGAGGATGTCACCGTTTAGACTATATGGATGTGAATTTGAAATTTTAATGAAATTGTTAAAAAAAATTGGAATCACTGGGTTCAGAGCAAATACTCGAGAATGCCTTTTGTGATAGGCTTCAAACTTTCACTGTTGATTGTCTTTTAAAAGACTTTGGTAGGCATAATGATATCGTCACGAATCCATTCATGATTCAACTGCTACAGGAGCTTAAAAGGTTTCTTTCGTTTTAGCAGAGTTCGATTTACAGTTTCTTAAAAATTACCTCTTAGGATGGCCTACTTTAAACACGGGAATTTTTTTTTTCTGTAATAACTATGCATTAGTTTAAACAGTATGTAGGACAGAAACCGAGGATATGTTCATAGGATAAATACACACATATGTTCACATATTTACATATTATTGTATTCATGGGAAAGCGTTAAACCCGTGGGTGTCTTATAACTACTGAGGGAATGGGAGGCATTTAGTTTCGATTCAAGAAAGGGAATGGAAGGTCCAATTCCTTGGATTAAGAGCCCCCCCTCACATGCATCAAGGAACTTCCCTTGAGACATTATTTACATGAAACTGGCACATTACACCCCACAGAGAACTGGATGTTACTGGGTTTGTCGCTGGTGATGGGTGATTTAGGGTGCACAATGAGGATATCCTCAAGCACTACTGAGTGAAGGAGAGATTCACGCAGCCTCTACAACAATGCCATCTGCACCCGTGTGCTTGTAGTGACAGGCAAAACTACTAGCTGCATCGAGGGTGTGTCAGTGGGCGCAGTCAACACTATCTGCTGCATGAGTGACTTGATAGTAGCAACCATACTGGTTTCATGACGAAACAAATTGTTTTAATTTCTTAAGAAAAACTAATCTCTCGCCGTGCACACAGCTGCCACTGTTGTTTTTCTTGGGAAAACTTAATTAAGAATCCGGATCCGGAGTTACATCAAGCTGAGTTTCACATGCCAAACTGAGCTATGAAAAATACCAAGGTAAAAGACACCAAGACAATATGAAGGGCAGAGTAACAACCCCACTACATCCACAAAGGACTCGATACGGCATAGTCTGTTAGTAGGCCAATAAATAGCCCTCAACAAGGAAAATCACATACATATGTTTCACTCAGGAAAAAAGGCAACAGCTTTAGTTGCTCTTAACAACCCCAACTCCACCAACAAACTCAAAAAGCAATGTCGAGGCGCTCAACAGAGCTACCACTCCTCCAGGGTCTCCATCACAGAAGCAGAACACTGTACTCCAATGTTCTTAACTACCCAGAAAACGGTAACTAATACACCCCTGACGTAAGGATGGTCGGTGCAACGGGAGCCTGAAGGGACGCAGGAAATCGACTGCTATGTAGACTTCAGGATGGAATGTCCACAGCTATACTGACTTCACCATAGGAAGCTTGCTTGTCGCGCGAGTGCTGCAACAAACCACAAAATCACATATGCATATAGGAAATTTATATGCAATGTCGCGGTTATAATTTGATCCCAGTGAATGTAATGTAGTTAGATTGGGTTCAATTCACACAAACTAGGCAAAAAAAAAAAAATGCTCTCGTTAGTTATATATAATAATATTATCTCCAAGTATTACAGACCCAGAGAAAATGGCACAAACATGATGTGCATATCATCCTATTGGTGGTGATGAACAATGACTGAATAATTTGAATACTTTAAAGCACTTACGTAAGTGTATCGAGTTTCGCAATGGCTCTCCGAATGATACAACCAGTCAAGTCTTACGCAAATACTTACGTAAGACTAATTAGTCTTAAACCACTGATCATTAATTCTTTTAATGATAACTATGATAACTCTTCACATATATATTTAAATAAAAAAAACTGACAGGTCCTACCATATATATATATATATATATATATATATATATATATATATATATATATATATATATACACACACACACATATGCAAGGAATTCGCGAGAGCAGGCGAAATATACAAACACTATTATATATATATGAGAAGAGAGAGAGAGAGAGAGAGAGAGAGAGGAGAGAGAGAGAGAGAGAGAGAGAGAGAGAGGAGAGAGAGAGAGAGAGAGAGAGAGAGAGAGAGAGAGAGAGAGAGAGAGAGAGAGAAACATAAGAGTGGAGGAACACTTAAGAAGGTCTAATGGCCCATACCAAACAAGTCTTTCTCTAGACCAACCATACCCACCCACCCACTTGTTCAACCTTTTCCCAGATAGAGAGCTACGAATGAATACCAGAACAGGGAGAATCACTACAAGAACAACGTAGTTGCTGAAGCAAAAGAGCAACACACTGTTCTAGACACCAGGAAATTGTTGATAAAGACGATCAAACCGAAGATAATGGAGGATGTGCTCAAAGAAAATAACAGGCAAGTATGAGAGGCACTCAAAAATCACCAAAACATCATTACACTGAACAATGGCAAATGGACGGAGGTCAACCGCAACATGTATGCTGGAAATACCTAGCAGTATCTGTTTAACACGTTAAAATGATGACACCACTTAATACGTTAAAATGATGACATCACTTAACACGTTTAAGTGATGACACGACTTAGAATCTTACCTTCCCTGCTACAGGAAAGGGTGGTTGTTATAAGGGGAAAAAAGTATGTTTGTATATTATTATTATAATAAAAAAGAAGATCAGTTTTAATAAAATCTGCAATTTGGGACTTACATAGCCTAACAGTAGTGTGATATTTTCTTTCAGCAATTTATACCAGCTCTTAAAAGTTTGAAGATGATCAGAAGAGGCTTCAAGTCTAATGTAAACACATGTGACTGCATCCCCTGCTACAGGCAAACATTGACCTGGTTATGACATTTTAAACAAGCTTTTGTGGTGCAGGGATGGGGGGTTCAATAGGCAATTTGAAACCAGTTGTCAATGGGTGTTCGTTTGGCAAGCGGTATGGAAAATACTCTTTACATACTGATGCGAGGATTTAAGTTTCCTTCCTGTACTGTAACAGCTGAAAGGCAGTTCATCATTCGCACTATTTCATTCAAAAATGAATAGTTTTTCTGGATGTTAATACATAAATCAGTTATGTATCATTCTAATTTATCAAGGCAACCAGTAATCACAGTGACTTCATTTTTATAGCACTGGGAAGGTCTGTCCAAAATTTTGATGGTCTTGATTATGTCTAGTTTTACCATACAAGCAAAGTACATTATCATCTCAAAATAAAATCTTCAATGTTTTTTGTGTTAATTTCAACACATGTACTGTTCCTTCTCAACAAGATAGATGAAAATGAAAATGAATTTCATTTTTCCCAGAGCTTACAATAGTTACAGACATTTACAAGGTATTTTGGAAAGCCAATGATTATGAAGAGCACTTCGGGCATAAGTGTTTATTAATATAACTTAAGATAAGCAACAATGAGTGAGTGCTGAGCTCGGTGTTTAGTTACACCGTCAAGGTTGACTTAAATGAACACATCCTGGGAACACCTCACTGGGCTGCTTGAATGTTTTATTAGGTTTAATTCCTAGTGATCACACGAGGGTAATGAAATTTGCATGTCACCCTCACCATTAAGAGCTATATAGTACCTGAGGAGTAGCTCCAATTCCTTGCATCAAGAACGCTTCCTCAGCATCAATGAACCCCCCATGGAGTTAAGGAAAAAAAAAACATGAGAGGATGTGATGCTGATGGTAGTGGTTATGACGCTGTCTCAGGTTTGATTAAATCGAAATAAAACAAAATATTAATTTCTTTTACATAAATTCGTAATTTTTTAAAAGCCCATAGTATGAACAGCGTTTCGGGCGAAACGAGTCCATAAGTGTTCAGATCACAAGAAATACAATATTTTTGTATTAAATACAATAACCATCAGCGTCGGATACTTCTAGTCCTGCAATTTTTAACTTCCTGTCCACTGACTTCAATAATTCTTCCAATCTTTAATGTGCTAGAGCCTCTCAATGTATTGAAGCATTTCTTAACGTATTACAGCCTCTTTCAATGTATTAAAGGCTCTCTCAGTTTCAGTTTTTCTTAATGTATTTGAAGCCTCACTCAAGTGTATTTTAAAACCTTTCTCAATGTATTAGTTTCTTAACGTATTCAAGTCTCTCTCAACGTACTTAGTAAAGACTCTTGATATATTAAAGCATTTATTAATGTTTTAAACTCTCTCAATGTATTAAATCAGTTAATATATTAATAATGTAATCTAAATCTAGGAATTTAGTTATGTAAATTATAATGTATATATTGCGTGATTGATTATTCTTACGATTTAGTGATAAAGGTTTTGTCGTTATTATTTATTAAATTGAGGTTTTAATACATTGAAAGAAGCTTTAAATTCCCCACACATGGGTTGAATGGGAGGCAATCAAGTTTGATCCAAGGAAATGTATGACATTCAATTTCTTGAGGGAGGGGGGGGGGTCTTAGATTCAGTATTTTTCACGATACAAGGAATATACTCTGTCACGTATATAAAATACACAACACACCTAGTGTAAATAGTAATAATAACACTTACCGTCATTATCCTTGTTTGCTAAGAAGTGTTACGTAGGCGACGTTACAGTAAAGAGGTGCTACGCGAGCGGTGTTAAGAGTGAGCGATGAGGGTAGAGACAACCTCCCACCTCGAAGGTTCACACGTGACTGAGATCTTCCCTACACCCGCTGTTGTTTAATACACCACTAGGCTCCTTCCTCCCTATGCTAGGAAAGGGAAAGGCTGAAAGAGGATTGGGAGGTGAAGAGAAAAGGGGATGAGTAGGAAAGGGGTGGAGGGAAGGCAATTTGAAAGTCCAGCAACAGTAATAAACCACAATACGGCAGCTAGAATGTTTCACATGTAACCCATATTTTAGAAGACGTTTCGGTCCGTCCTGGACCAATTGTGACGATAATGGTCAAGGAGGGACCTACACATCGATTAATAAATGAAAGGTAATTATTTGTCATTTTCGTGAAGTGTATGTTACGTGACATTTATAATAATAATAATAATAATAATAATTAATAATAATAATAATAATATAATAATAATAATAATAATCTTTATTTCTACAAGTACATGTACAAGGTATACAGGCCTACTTGACACCAATGATATACTACTACATAGAAAGCCCCTGGTTATGCAGAACATTTCGGTCAAATAAGATTTTGTCCCCATGATGTGACCCACACCAGTCGGCTAACACCCAGGTACCTATTTTACTGATAGGTGAACACCGGGGATCGAACCAAGGACCCCAGTGTGTGAGCTGAAATGTGCTAGCAATCGAGCTACGGGACATCTTGAAAGTGCATCGTTTCTTGAGCTGGTCTGTGTGGTCTTGACCTGGTCCCTGCGATCCTGACCAGGTCTGTGTGGTCTCGACCAAGTCTGTGTGGTCTTGACCTGGTCCCTGCGGTCTTGGCCAGGTCTGTGTGGCCTCGACCAGGTCAGTGTGGTCTTGACGTGATCCCTACGATCCTGACCAGGTCTGTGTGGTCTCGACCAGGTCTGTGTGGTCTTGTCCTGGCCCCTGTGGTCTTGACAATAACCAAATTTGAATTTCTGTCTAAACAAATATATTTTTTTCAATGATCTAGCCTTTTACGTTTTCTCACAGGAGCATAATCTGTGCGATTTTCACTAAGTTTGGTCCACTGGTTTTCATTATATAATGTAAACGGCAGAACAAACCAAATACGTTTTTTTAACAAAACTGGACGCACCAGCAGGGTGCTGCGACCCCGTTTTATATACTAGTTTCACAGCGGGAACAAGAGCTGGTTATGTTTCCCTCACGCAGGATGGAGGATCATAGGTGTTGAAATCTGTCAGTCTGAGCTGGGAGACTTCAGTAGTGTCAACCTGAGCTGGGAGACTTCAGTAGTGTCAACCTGAGCTGGGAGACTTCAGTAGTGTCAACCTGAGCTGGGAGACTTCAGTAGTGTCAACCTGAGCTGGGAGACTTCAGTAGTGTCAACCTGAGCTGGGAGACTTTCAGTTTGTGTAACCTGAGCTGGGAGACTTCAGTAGTGTCAACCTGAGCTGGGAGACTTCAGTAGTGTCAACCTGAGCTGGGAGACTTCGGTAGGGCAATGAGCATATCATCAAGCATTCTAGCAAGGGTTCATCATCCATGGCAACTTCCAAGGTTTCCTTTCAGCATAGCTGGAATTGCCATCTCTCAGGATAGCCTATCACAAACACAGGAAGAAATTTTTATGAAGATACTACCATCATCCCAGAGCGGGGGCAAGAAAAATTGTACACAGGAGGCAGAGGAAAGAAAAAATGGTGAAGGAAGAGAAAGATGGATGTTATAAGACAACCACACACACACAAACACACACACACACACACACACACACACACACACACACACACACACACACACACACACACAGGTGAAGAAACTGCTAAGGGACATCGATACCTCAAAGGCAATGGGACCGGACAACATCTCCCCATGGGTCCTTAGAGAGGGAGCAGATATGTTGTGCGTGCCACTTACCACAATCTTCAACACATCCCTGGAAACTGGGCAACTACCTGAGGTATGGAAGACGGCAAATGTAGTTCCCATTTTTAAAAAAGGAGACAGAAAAGAGGCACTAAACTATAGACCTGTGTCATTGACGTGTATAGTATGCAAAATTATGGAGAAGATTATCAGGAGGAGAGTGGTGGAGCACCTGGAACGGAACAGGAGTATAAATGCCAACCAGCACGGATTCACGGAAGGCAAATCCTGTGTCACAAACCTTCTGGAGTTTTATGATAAAATAACAGAAGTAAGACAAGAGAGAGAAGGGTGGGTTGATTGCATCTTCTTGGACTGCAAGAAGGCCTTTGACACAGTTCCTCACAAGAGATTAGTGCAGAAGCTAGAGCATCAGGCGCATATAACAGGAAGGGCACTGCAATGGATCAGAGAATACCTGACAGGGAGGCAACAACGAGTCATGGTACGTAATGATGTATCACAGTGGGCACCTGTGACGAGCGGGGTTTCCCCACGGGGGTCGGTCTAGGACCAGTGCTTTTTTTGGTATATGTGAACGACTTGACGGGGGGTTAGACTCAGAAGTGCCCCTTTTTGCAGATGATGTAAAATTTTAATGAGGAGAATTAAATCTGAGAGGCCCCGGGCAGGATTTCCCAAAGAGACCGGGAAGATGGACCCCTGGTCCAGCAAATGGCTTCTCAAATTTTTTAACCCTCCCAATTGAAAAAGTATAAAAGATAGGGGAAGGGCACAAAAGCCCAAACGGGACAGAGTATAGTAGGGGGCCCAAAAAGGACTTAAAAACCTCACTCAAGGAGAAAGATTTTGGGGGGTGAGTATAATTTAAAAAGGAAAAGTAAGTTTTTTTCAGGTATACAAAAAATACAGTTAATAGAATTTCTACATAGCGAAATATGTGTAGAGAACCTGGATAACCCAAAAAGTCAGAAGAGTAAATTTTTTCCTTTGGGGCCCCTTTTACCTTTTTATTTAGTAAAAAGGTTATAATTTTTTTTATTATTCTACAAGGGAAAGTAACATCTTTTTATCTTACTAAAAGACTATCTGTTTCCCAAAAGGTTCTTTAAGGGACTATCTACAAATACGAGGGTCTTTACAAGGAAAAAGGGTTAAAATTTTACACTTTTTGTTAGCTAAAAAATGGAAAATTCTTTCCCCTCCCTTTCTTTTAGTTTACATTCTTTCAGACATTTTTTTGGCACTCTTCTTGAACTGGTTCACGCTATGACGGGCCCTTTGACATGTGGGGGTTTGTCTTTTTCCCCATTCCTTTATTGCTGTTACAAAAAAAGGTGTTGAACCCCGGGGCCCACTGACTGGGGGTTTACTAAAAAAGTTTTTGCTCTCCCCCCCCTTTGGTTATTATGATTGTTTTGGGTTTCCCCAAAAACCTTGACAAAATTGACAGCAAGATATTCGGGAAACATTGTTTTGTAAAAGGGCAATTTTTAAATTTTTGTTTTAGTTCGGGTTTTTTTAAATCTGTCTTCAACTTTTCAGCATACCCAACTGCTGTAATTCATCCTGGCCTAAATGTTCTCTTGGCCCCAAGCCCCAGGATAAATCTTACGTTTTTGTTCTGGGTGATTTGCAGTCTTTCTTTCGTTTTTTTGTAAAAGGCAGAGTACCAAAAGAGCAAGCGTAATCCATATGGCTTTTTATAAGGGCTAAAATTTTAGGGGTCCTGGGGCCCTCAGGGGGTTTGAAAATGTGTTGTCTAACGGGCTTCAGTTTGGCTTTCCGCTTTCTTTACTACACTTTTCCCCTATCAATTCCCCGGAAGGGCATGGGTTTAAAGGGGGGTTCCCCCAAATTTTTTTACTGTTTAAAACAAATTTGATGGGCCCCCCTTTTAATTAAAACTTTAAAAAATTATTTACCCCTTCTCAGTTTATGTTTCTTTTGCCAAAGGGGAAGGGTCTTCATTTTTCCCCTAGGTGTAATGATGTTTGTTGTTACTAAAAAATTTGTGCGGGACTCCCAGTTTCCAAAAAAGGGGGTTTTAAAAAAAATTCAGCAAATAATTTCCTTGGGGGTTCCTTTTACCTTTGGGCCCCAAAACCCCGGGGCCCCCCTGATCCAGGGGTTTTTGATTTTTTTGGAAATTTTGGCATTTTCTTTTGCAAAAATAAAAATTTAAACCCAAGAATATACCTTTGGGGGGAATTCCATTTTTTTGGGGGTTGCGTTTTTTTTTAAATTTTTTTTTTTTTTTAAATTTTTTTTATTTTTTAAATTTTTTTTTCGAAGGCCTTTTGCAGGTCTAATGTTACCATCCCTTGAGGTTCCCCTTTGAAAATTTCGTTTTTTCGGGTTTAACCCCTCAGATTAATAAGGGAGGTGTCGGTTGGTAGGATTTCTAAACCCCGTTTGTTAGCTTTTGGAGAATGTTGTTGTCATTTAAAGGGACTTAACTCTTGAGGGTTCAAACCCCCTTCTAGAATTTTAGATATTTTTTCGAGTATATAACAAAGGGCCCATAGTTGTTACATCAGACCTATATTTTTTTTTGAAGATTTGGTGTGACTCTGGCCTCCCTTTAAACCCCCCCGGTACTGTATTAGTGGGTTTATTGTAGATTTATTATGTGGGGCAAAAAGGGTTTTACCCGTTCAGGAAAACACCCCTTTTTTTAGGAAAATTAGACGGGGGGGTTTTTCAAAGGGGCCGTGGTTTTTAGTTGGGTTTAAACCGGGTTGTTCTTTTTGAATAAAGTCATGAAAATTTCACTTACTAGTTGGGCAAACCCTTTTGGGGGGTTTCCCCTTTTTTTGGTTTTAGATGTTTGGGAAAATTATCAAGGGCTGTGTTTTTAAAGGTATTTGGATGCAGCTGGAAGTTTATTTTAGGGTTGATGCAACGGGTGTGTAGGGAGGAATTTTAAAACAATTTGCCACCTTAGATGTTTGTGGGGATGCCCCTTTCGAAAAAGTTGAGTACTATGTTAGACCTATTTTACCCGGTTATGGGGTATACCCCAACTGGGTTTTTGTTTTTGCCAGAGCTTTCTGGGGGTTATGCTTATATCTTCAATTTTTGGCGTAGTGCTTTGCCTTTGCTCCTTTTATAAGTCTCTGGGACTCTTTTCCCCACCCTTTGGTTATTAAATTTGTTGGAATTTCCTGTCTGTTTGCTTTTTTTAAAC